TTCGATAAGTAGGACTTTAGCCAATGTATAGAAACTGCAGAAAAATTGAAATAAGTCATCTTTGTAAGTAGCACTTGGTGGTCAACTGTGTCAAATGCCTTCCTGAGATCAAGGAAGACAGCACCTACATATGGGCTCGTAGCCCATTCTAAGGGCTCTTAGAATGTTTATAATTTCTTTGTCTCTTAACATTCCTATAATAATTTGTTTTTTTATTGTTGGTATTGTTTTGTTCTTTATTTTTGTTGTGAGAATCACTTTGTAATTGTGTAAGTGCTATATAAATAGTTATACTAATATTAGTGTTGTTACCATCATTACTATTATTAAAAATGTTTTCTTTGTTTTCTTTATTTATCGCTGCAGAAAGGATCATGCCAGCCCACATCAAACACCTGATCAAGAACTTGTGAATCTTCGGGCAGAAAAGATGAAAACACCTGTTCAAAGTTCCAGTTTCCTGTACATCGAACCATGCCTGTACTCTGTTCCACATGTCTTCAGTCAGTTCTGGACCCCATGACTCTGTTCCACATGTCTTCAGTCAGTTCTGGACCCCATGACTCTGTTCCACATGTCTTCAGTCAGTTCTGGACCCCATGACTCGGACACTAGTTCTACCAAGGCTTATTAGAGGTAAGAGTGGTAGGAGAGGAGTGGAGTTATCTTTGTATTTAGGCTGCAAGTCGACAAAGGTGATCAAATGCTGATGCTAATAATGATCCGATTAATTTGATATTGATTGTCTGCCAATACCGAATCCTGATCCGATTCTTCTATTTCCCAGATAATACAGCTGCACCGTGTACACTAGCTCTATTGGTTTTTGCCATTGTAATTCACCATAAGCAATTGTTGACTGTAACGTCTATGCCAACCAACTGTAATTTGTAATGTATTTTACCATAATTTAACGGTCAAGTTCTGGCAACCACAGCAGCCCAAATGTTAACGTAAATGTCAAGTTTTCTTTTTACAGTGTACTTATATCTGTACATTTCTTTTCACTTTGCTTCAAGGATTGGCTTCAACAGACAGAAATGCAGGCCAGATTGGGAAAGGCTGGACGCTACACAACGGGAAACATTATGGACATGAACAAGGAAAAACAAAAAACACTTTCTTTGTTGCCTTTTTCTTATCATACATAGTGTTACTGTTTTTGTTACCATTTAAATATTGAATTCTATTTATTACTTTTTTTTTAAATCAAATGCACCTGTTTTAGATCATATATATTTTTTTTTATGTATAGGTTGATTTGCAGGTTGGTTGTTATTTGTATAATTATTGTATTGTTACTGTGTATTTTATTACATTAACTAGCTATTTATTGCTATTTATTAAATTAAAAATACTGTTATGAACACTTTACAATGTCTTTATTTTGGTAGATACCAGAATACATGACACAATCAATCTTTGTAATATATTTATGTTCTCTGTTTAAATAATCATACCAGTATTTAAACAATGTATCAATGTGTCACTTGGAATCCCGGTAAGCTTCCAGCATGGTATATTTAATACTATTATTCAACATAAGCTGGTGATAGATGGATGCTGGTGACCAGCCCAGCATACCAGCATACTATGCTGGTCTATGCTGTTTTTTTTTAGCTGGCCAGGATGGCTGGTTTAGCTGGTGGCCGGTTTAGCTGGTTTAGCTGGTGCACCAGCTAAACCAGCTAAACCAGCCACCCTGGCCAGCTAAAGTGTCCAAAACCCCTCTAAACCAGCCAACCATTCCAGACTAATATCTACTGGCTGCTCAGGCTGGTCAATTGGTCTATGCTGTTTTTTTCAGCAGGGTAATGGCAAAATAAATTTGTGAGTAAAACATCAACCTATTGTGTAATGGCCTGGTTGACATTGACACTGGACTTCAGACATCAAATATCTAATCATTTGTTTTTGACAGGTAATGTCAACAGAATGTTTCAGGGAAAATGTGTTTTTGAGGCCACCCAGTTAGCCAACTATCACCGTCACTGGAAACGTACCTTAAGTGTACGTTTTATTGGTTTGTTTTAACAATTTGATCGCATTATTCTTTCTGATATTTTTGCAGATCTGTTGTGAGCTAGCGTAGCTAACCTATTCACTTCAGATATAATGACAAAACACTTCCATTTATTACAAAATAGACTTTCTCTGCCAACATTGACAGTTGGCCAACTTTATAATCCCCTAAATCAGGGGTCTCCAACCTTTCTTCATCTGAGAGCTACTTTGAAAAAATGAAAGTGGCCAAGAGCTACTTGCATCACATCGCTTACATTTATTCACATAGCCCTCATCAGTTGAATTAAGCTATACTTTTGTACACGTGTGAAATTGCAATACCTAAAGCTTATCAAAAATCTTAACTTCACATCAAGGTCCAAGAAAACAAAGATTTCTCACATATTATTATGGCCCACATAATAAGTACATCACTGAACATTCACATAAGTGTCCTTAATCACCACCTTACAAGCATTTCACTCTTTTGTTAGTGAGATGAATGGCACTGCATGCAGTCCACCATACAGGTGTCTGCTGGAGTGTACCCACTTAGGTTCACTCTAATAGAGTCATTTAAATGTCCATCAGTCAGTCTTGTTCTGTATTTAGATTTCATTCATGTCAGAAAAAGCTGCTTCACAAAGGTATATAGAACAGAACCAAATAAAGCAGACATTTTCAGTGCTGCTTGGTGAATGTTCTATAGTTTTCGGTGTCTACAAGGCTCCAGAAATGTTGTGAGTTTTGCTGAGACTCAAGCTGAACATTATTTTGGAGATCTCCACAGGATTGACACTGAACAGTTGTTCAGCCATCTTTTTCTTCTTCTTCGTCTTGACATTAAATTATAAACCATAATAAATCAAGTGTATAGGTCTAGCCTCCCTATATCTGTGTGTGAAAATGGTTCCATCCTCAAAAACAAAAAACTAATACTTCTGCAGTCTAGCTGCAGCTTCTAGCTACGGTCTTCTGTTAAAAAAAAGACACTGAATGTCCTGAATGTGGCATCACACACAGGACTTAAGTCTGAACACAGCAGACAACAGGAGTATTTACAACAGCATTATAAAAACAAAAATAGTGCATGTGGGTGCACACTTACCTTCTCTGTCTTACTGTTACATAAATCCCATGAATGTATGAGATTAAGTTAGCTTCATATCTCAATCAGTGATTAAGTGAATAATAAAGTTTCTATCGGGTTACTATCAGCCTGTCACTCATTATTTTCAGGGAGGGGGCGGGGTTTGGAGGAACAGAGGAGACGGTGATCGCGGAAGCTTTCCTCCTGCCTTCACAAACTTTACACAAGTATTTATCAACTGAAAATAGCAAGAGGACATTCATACTCTGCAATCCAAGACTTGATTAAATCCACCAAAAACCTGACATGACGATAACGAGTGTTTTTCAAAAAACACAAATCCCTCCCTGTGTGTCTCTGAGCCGCAGCGGCAGGGCCTGATTCAGAGCGGGTCATTCTGCTGTTAGTTCTGGACTGGTGTTGGTGGAGAAAGCAGACTGCTCCGTGTGTGTTGTCGCTGTGCTGCTGTCACGTCTGCTCCTTGATCTCTGCGTCACCGACCATTTGATATTCGTGTGACAGAAAAAATTCTAAAATAAAAAAACGTTGTTGTCCAGCCGCGGCCGAAAAATCAATAAGCAACCTTACTACGCTATAATCGATAATCGAGCGGCGAGCTACTGAAAAGCTGCCCGCGAGCTACCGGTAGCTCGCGATCGACGTGTTGGAGAGCCCTGCCCTAAATCATCAAGTGCTCCGGTCCCAGATGTGTGTTTCAATTTTTAGTGTCCCCGTATCTGTTGTGTTATCAGTTTCTTTTTTATTTGCAGCTTTTTGTAATTGAAAATGTCTTCTTAATACTACACGTGTTGTCAAGTTAGTGAAGAAGTCCTCATTTGGATGTATTTTGGTCATTTGTGTTTTTTTACATTTACATAGTTTTTAAATTGCAGCAGGTTTCTCCTAATGGAAGTGATTTGGGCCGTTTTTTAGCGCGTTTGCACGAGTCGGCCACCGTATCTCACTCTTAACAACAGGGTTCTTTGGAATAACTTCCATATAATGTTTACTCATTCAACTTAGAGCTGTTTATTTATCCACATTTTCTACAGCTATTGTGAAGATATTGTTACCATGAAGTTGTTTGGCAATGATATTCAGTGAAAACCTGATACTGTGATAGCCCTGAGGTACAATAAGACACAATCATGCAGGATTAACAATAATTTACATGTTACTGATTAGCTACTCTTTCGTCTGACTCATTAGTCTAATATTATGTGTATATCTACAGCCAAGTCAAATGTTGCGCAGAACTTATCTTTGCTGAAGGAGTAACATAAGGACATGCGGGGGAACCACAAAAAAAACAAACACATCAATGCCTTATTTGGGTGGAAATGGGGGTAGAAGAAACAGAGAGGCTGAGAGTTACTGATTAGCTACTCTTTCGTCTGACTCATTAGTCTAATGTTATGTCAGGGGTTAAATTGGGATTTGATATGTGGGGGGGCTCTGTGTGGAGGTTCGGGGGGGGGGGGGGGGGGGGGGCTATACTGTGTGAGGCCCTAAGTAACTGCTCCATTATCTGTATCATATCGGAGCAGAGACACACGTTCACTAAGCCGAAAAACTGTATCCGGTCACACAGATCTGCTATTTTAAATTAAAGTCAACACATATCGACCTTAAATATAGTCTATATTAAGAACGAGAAAAGTTTGAACATATATATAGTTTTTTATAAACATATGACAAATGTGCGAGGGTGATGAAGTCAGAGAACCCTGGCCCAATTTAACCCCTGGTTATGTGTACAGCCAAGTCAAAGGTTGGGCAGAACTTATCTTTGCTGAAGGAATAACGTAAGGACATGCGGGGGAACCACAAAACAAACAAGTTACACGTCAATGCCTTATTTGGGTGGAAATGGGGGTATAAGAAACAGAGAGGCAACAAGATAGATGTATTGCCTTTGATTCAGACATTTTACACACAGGCTAACACAACATATTGTTAAGATGGAGAAAGCAATGATTCTGGTTTCTGTGCTGCTGCTGGGATGGACCTGGACCCTCCAGGCTGTCCCTGTTGATATGGATCAGGTGAGTGGCTTAACTTAACATCTGTCCATAGAGGATTTTCAATCATTCTTTCTTTTCTTTTTTAACTGTCCCTTGAGGTTTGGCTTTTTTGTTTTATGTTGATACATAGCATCAGTGAAATAACATATTTGTGATGCTGCTAACCAAATTGGAGAACGAGTTTGAGGCTATCTTAAAGCAGGTTCCACTGAATGTTATGTTTTTCATCTATACGAGTTTTGAAATGTCTTGTCTGGCTAAGTCTGTCTGTGGCTGTGATGCAGGTGGATGTTCCTGTGCAGCCTCTTGCTACTGTGGAGGTTCCTGTGGAGCATAATGCTACTGTGGAGGTTCCTGTGGAGCATAATGCTACTGTGGAGGTTCCTGTGGAGCATAATGCTACTGTGGAGGGCCTTAACGCAACTCTGCCTCCGTTCCGTACTGTGGAGAGTTATGCTGCTGAGGTTCATATGGAGATTATTGCTATTATGAAGTTGCCTGTGGAGAATAATGCTACTGTGGAGGTTCCTGTGGAGAATAATGCTACTGTGGAGGTTCCTGTGGAGCATAATGCTACTGTGGAGGTTCCTGTGGAGCATAATGCTACTGTGGAGGTTCCTGTGGAGCATAATGCTACTGTGGAGGTTCCTGTGGAGCATAATGCTACTGTGGAGGTTCCTGTGGAGCATAATGCTACTGTGGAGGGCCTTAACGCAACTCTGCCTCCGTTCCGTACTGTGGAGAGTTATGCTGCTGAGGTTCATATGGAGATTATTGCTATTATGAAGTTGCCTGTGGAGAATAATGCTACTGTGGAGGTTCCTGTGGAGCATAATGCTACTGTGGAGGTTCCTGTGGAGCATAATGCTACTGTGGAGGTTCCTGTGGAGCATAATGCTACTGTGGAGGTTCCTGTGGAGCATAATGCTACTGTGGAGGTTCATGTGGAGCATAATGCTACTATGGAGGGCCTTAACGCAACTCTGCCTCCGTTCAATGCTGCAGGTAAGAGATCAACTCAATTGTTTATCTGTATACCATTGTATTTGTTGCAGTGAGCAATGAAAATGTGTACTAAATGGAAGAGAGATCATGATACTGATGTTAGAGTCAAGTCCTTACTAATATGTGTCTTCCTCTTTCTGTGCTACTTCCTGCATCTCTCTCTTCTTTTAGAGGACTGTCAGAAAGACCCAGCGATCGGTGGACCCGGACCGACATGTTTGGCACACATTGAAAGATACTTCTACAACTCCTCCTCAATGAACTGCGAGATCTTCATCTATGGAGGGTGTGGAGGAAACCTGAACAAGTTTATAAATGACGCAGAGTGTATGGATAGCTGTCACCCTGAAGGTGAGGAGTGAGATACAAAACATATCTGAATACATTGTACATCATTTTTTAAATTGTTGTTTTCTCTCAAGGTTTTTGAAGAGGTGCCCAGAAATGTTGCACATTATCACATATTTAATTATTATCATAAAATAAAGATGTACTGTGAAGCTTAAAGATGCATAGCAGGGCTGCCATAATGTTTAATATGGTCCCCCAGATATTTGTAGATAACAAAATATGCTTAATATATTTTTTCCTTTTCACAGCAGAGCTCCCAACGGCAATATGTCTGGACTGTTAAAGTCCTTTTTGAGTCGGACCAACTGGAAGCAAGTGAGATGAAGAACGCTTCTGCACTCAGAACATGTAAACTTGTATTAAAACAAATCACAATTAAAAACATGTGCTTACTAATATGTTTTGTGTATGTTTTTTTGTTTATAACTCAAATTAATATGGCTGAATATCCAGTAAAAACTTAAGGGTGGAGGTAATGAAATCTCCTAAAACTTAAATTGGTAAAGCCCCAATGGAAGAATATCTTCTTACAATAATTACATCTCCTTAATTCAATATACTGTAAGGTGTTGTTTGTTTTATACAATGTTAAATAACATACTTGATCTATGAAAATCAAAAGTACTCATTGTAAACAATTATACACAACCTAATATATATATGCCCATGCTATAGCACTTTTAATATTTTGTATTATTTTACTTTAACTGCAAGATGCTCACTGTGAATAGGAGACATGAACACTGACATTAGAAATATGTCAATGTAGAACTATTTTTATTGAAAATGTCATCTAAAACTGTCCTATTATAACTTTTCAAACATATTTTCTGTTTGATTGTTATTTTTTGATTGCATTTTCGCAATGAAATCATAATATTGGATGAAAAGGACTCAGATATTGGTTAGGTCAAAAGGAATTGAGTGATCCAATCAAGTTTTACAATCATACCTTAGCTTTACTACCTGAACACTAACATATGAGTGATGACTGTTACTTTAATATTATAACAGGTATTAGTTAAATACAAATGTACTGCTGCAATTCTCAATATACAGATGGTTCTGTTTTCCAACACAAAACCTTTGAGAAATACTTTAGCTTAATTTATTTACAGCTCTGAAAAGGCATAAGAGAGATAAGCAGGAATATACATTTCAACAATTGTATTGAACATTAGTAGAATCAATTCACACAATAAGGTGGCAAACATTTAGGCCACTGGTCTCCGTCCTGCTTTTCAAAAGAAAATTCTCCCCTGAGATCTGAAATCTGGAGTGCAGTTCTTGGAGAAGTCTTTGGCCACTGAAGAGCAAAACCTGGAGATGGTGCTTCCCTTCTTTGGTGGTTTCATCAGGTGGTTTTTGAAAGTGGAGACAATATAGTCTACCACATCTGGTCTTTCTAGACACAATGCAACCAGCACTATCTCTGCACTGCCCCACTTCTTGCACAGGTCCTTGTGAACGGCCTTGTCGTGGTGTATAAAAGTGTCAGAGGTGATTTTGAAATCTGTTCCTTCCACTGCAGCCCATATCTTTTTTAACAGGAGCTCAGTGGTGGTCTCTGCGTTTCCAAAATCGCTGTAGATCTTTGCTTTTCTGAAGGTGCGGGAAACCAGATTCTCCACAAGTTTCCCGACAGACTTTTTGTGGTTCTCTGCATGTGCTGCTGCATCCTGCACCGATCCGGCACCTGTCTTCTCAGATACTACGATTCTGGGTGTTTGTAATACTGACATGGTGTCTTTTATAGCCAGTGTGACCCTGTCAATGTGGATGGCAGCCTGTGTATTCAACCACAGCCACATCTGTACCTTGAAGTGCAACAGTTTTCCATGTATTTCACGGGACATAGTATCACGTGGTGGGTGTACTAAAATCCTCGTTACTCCTGGAACAATGTCAGTAATCATCCCCTCTGTGCAGTAATTGTAGAGAAGATCGATGAGTTCTTTTCTCAAGACTTTGCTGTTGGAAATATCCTGCAATCTGCGAAACACAAGCTCATTTCCCTCTTGTTGTTTAGTACCATCTTCTGTCAGAAGGAGAGAATCAACCTCAGCAAGGAAGGATTGCATTGAATCCTTGCTTCTCACTTGGTATTCGGGGAACAATTGAGCCTTATATTGTGCCGCGATTTGATGTATTGCCAGTTTTGCAAACCACGTGGCAAAGAAAGTCTTTGTCTTGTATGCCACTCCGTTCAAGAACAGTTTCTCTCTGTTTTCGCTTGTCTTTTTGGATGTTGGTCTGGTGCTTGCAGCAGCTTTCTCTTCCAGACTTGTAACATCTTCAACAAGTACATTGGCAATTTCATCTGAAAGTATTTTACTTTTCAGGGAGATTTGATATTGCAGCAGCTCACACATAGAGTCTGTCACATCATTTAGAAAAGGTTCTGTCATTTGAGTTAACTCTTTCCTTATACATTTCTGGAGAGCTTTAGTTGTTGCAATCAAAACTAGAGCGTCCTCGGATCTTCTTGAGACCTTATTGGGGGTTTCTGGTTTCACAAATGTGGCTGACTGGCAGCAGCCATCAATGTTTTCAGCCTCCTGATCTTTCATTCTCAATTCTCCAACAGTGTCCACTTATATGGAGTTATCTTAACTCGTTCTAGATATTTGTGTTTAAGGTGTGTCAACTCTGTTCAACTCCTGCAGTAATGTGAACCTGGGCTGAATTCTTTCCCTATCATGTTCACAGCAGAACCTTAGAATTATATTATAGTACTAGATCCATACCATAGAATGTTCCTCTACATTCCAATCCCAAATGACATTACTTTTATTTTTAGACACCTTTTTTATGACACATAGAATATACAGTTATTGACAAGTGGGGTATTTCGAATTTGTTGGAGAATTAAATGTTTAATTCGTCTTGGGCTTGTCTTAACCAATGACCTTTTTTTAGGCCTCCAACCAAAAACCCATTTGAAAACACTCAAGACAAGGGAACCCAAAGTGCTAAAATGCTTACTCCTTTACGGGTGTTAGGACTCATTCCTACATTACTCTGCCTTGTTGTGAAATGTTCTTTATAAATAAAGTTGCCTTGCCTTGCTTTGCTGTGCTAAGCATGGGTAGCATCCTTTGACAGCTGTTTCGGTTTCATCATCATGATAGTGAGTCGGAGACATTCACGTCAAATCAATTGGATGCTGATTAAAATTCTCATTGACAGTTATCAATCAACCGCAACGTACTAAAATAAAATGCATGCTTTTAACTTCTTTTCTCTATTCGACTATTATTCAGAACATGACTATTCTGAATTGGATACAATTTGTGTAAACAGCAAATGTATGTTTGGATATTCTCAATAAGGCCAATATGCTGGTTTATGGAGAATTCTTAAAGTATACAGCACATTAGAATATGCGTATTTGAAATAATACGTAGTATTTTTTAATAAATAAATCAAAAGGGAAGAGTTAGCTCTGTGGCCAGTTGTTTACTGGTTCACCAGTTTTCACCCCAAATAATAGGCTTCTGTACACCAGTGGTGAAAGAAGTTCTCAGATCCTTTAAAAAAGTAAAAGGGGCTACGGGTGGGGGGAATATTTCATCTTTTAATTATTTTTACCATCAATTTGTAAAAGACACATCACAAACGTTTGTTTTTTTTCTCAAAAATGTAATCCATTAATATTATTTTGTTATTTGAATTAAGTCCTTCAAGATGTACATTTAGCCAGCCTTTCTTTTGCAAAAAAAAGAAGAAAGAGTTGTGATACACAAATCGGGAGGCCTATGTTTTTGTGGACTTTTCTTTGATCCTTCTCTTTTGAAAACTAAATCATAAACTAACCATTTCAAATGTTTAATTTTGTAGGTTTTGTGAAAAAAGCCCAAATATTTCCCTTGACCAGAGGATGGCAGTATAGTGCACTCTCAGCCTGCAAAGACAGCTTCCGCTGAAAACAAGCAAGAGAGTAGAGCAAGAACTTCCAAAGGGTTACCATAGAGCAGGGGTTTTCAAAGTGTGGGAAGGTGAGCCTCCCCTCAGAGAATATAAGAACAGCCGCGCCCCCCCTCCCAATTATTATTGCTATTATTATTATTATTATTGTTGTTGCTATAATGCAGGGGTATTATTATCCAGTGGAATGCCCTTACCTACTGGCCTAGTTAAATCAAAGTGGTTACTTATTTTTGTCTGGGCAGTGTAGTTTTACACACCATCTTATTTGACTTTCTCAGGGCAGACCCCCACAAAGAAAAAAATATATGTACACACGTAAGGTCATCATCTTAACAGTTTTTAATGCTCGAGTCATCCTGGCTCGCCGATAATAAATTATCATTACACCTGGGTAAAACAGAGTCCATTCTCTTCGGTTCGAAACATAATCTCAGCAAATCCGACGACTTCTCAGTTGCAGTGGGTGACATTATTGTCACAAGTAAGAAGGAAATTACATACCTAGGATCTATTCTTGAGGCAAACCTCTCCTGTGACAAAATGGCATCCAATGTAATAAAAAAAGTCAATCAAAGAACTAGATTCCTATACCGGATCTCCTCTCTGGTAAACAAAAACACCCTGAAAACTCTGGCAGGAGCACTCATTCAAG